ACATCACCCTATCAAGTCAGCCAGGCATAGCTAGCTGAGCCTAAACTGACATCACCCTATCAGGTCAGCCAGGCATAGCTACCAGCTGATTTAATACTGAAGTCTTCTTGTCAGGTCTGCCTTGCACACCTAGTCCAAATGTCAGGGTGCTCAGGGCACTGTCACGGCACACACTACCCCTGCAATAGCAAAATACGGTTTTATCTACTTTTGTATTGATACCCACACAAGGTGCCAAATTAAAAAAGAATCCACATTTTACTGAAGGCTTTATTTTACTAGATAAATCAACCAGGAACACAGTCTTATGTACACTAATAATCTGCAGACCCAATTAGCAGGGGCATGTTACTGGAGCAGTCTGGGTGACTCAAAGGTATAATGGCTGCATGCCACTTTGATCAAACACTACCCATTAATACATCAGATGGGGCAGCTTTTCTGCACCTTGACCCTGCCTCTCCTCTGTTTGAGATCTCTGAGCACTTCAAAGAAAAGCCTGGGTTTTAAGTAAATATTGACACTTGTCTCTGGAAGCCGTTTCTTTTAATTCGTGGTCATAGAAAACTGAGAGCGATCTGTCATGAGTGTGGCTCCTCTGATAATGGTCCTGGCTGAGAAAGCACTGTCCTGTGGCTGGTGGTTTAGATCTACACTGTGTACAGGACTGTGTCCAGCATTGCCTCATGGGGAATGGCACAGGTGTCCAAATGCTGGCCATTACTGCAAGGCTTTATCTAGCAAAGCTGCATGAAATCTGGGATTATACAAAAGGCGAAGCGTACCATAAATCATTTTTTTCTGTAAAAGGCTATTACAAAATTTAACAGTGCTTACACTGAGAAATTATTTTTTAATCATTCTACATGGCTCTCTGACAAAGGCACTTCTGTTGAAATATCCTTGCTCCAGATGTGGTTTGGAATTAATGGTGGTTCTTCCAGAACTGTCTGTATTGAGAAAGCATGGAACAGTCTCTTTTGAAAGTGGATACTTTTTTCTGTGCTATTTGCACAAAGCCAGATTTGAAATTTCTACAACATTTTGACTCACAGGTCACATTAAATCCACTAAACATTTCTGTATACATAAATTTTACAGCTAGTGTCTGTGCCAGTAGTTTGATATATCTATTGGAAACTCACCAGGGGTCAAGGAAGCCAAAGTGTCTTGCAGCTCCACAGACCTCCCAAGAATGTGCACAGACAAAGCCGCTGACTGGCAGAAAGACTGGGTTGTGATCCCTTGTGCAGAGAGTTTTGGGGGCAGCTCCTTCCTGGACAAACACTGTAGCATGTTTATCAGCTTGTGACCACCTTTGCTTTTGTGCCCATACAGCGGTGCACCATGGGGAAACACAACAGTAAACTGGCCCCGGAGGTCCTGGATGACTTGACCAAGAGCACCGAGTTCAATGAGAGTGAACTGAAGCAGTGGTACAAGGGCTTCCTGAAGGACTGTCCTACTGGCATCCTCAACCTGGAGGAGTTCCAGCAGCTCTACGTGAAGGTGAGAGAACCCCCCAATCCCCATCCATGCTTGAGAAGCTCAGCAGGTGTGAGCCTGGTCAGTACCTGGATGAGAGACCTCCTGGGAAAAACTAAGGCTGCTGCTGGAAGAGGTCTTTGTGAGTCCAAATGCCCCAGTATAGTGACAGGGACACTATACTGTAAACAGGCGCCGTCCTTCAGATGAGACATAAAACCGAGGTCCTGACTCTCTGTGGTCATTAAAAATCCCAGGGCGTTTCTCGAGAAGAGTAGGGGTGTAACCCCGGCATCCTGGACAAATTTCCCCCTGGCCTTTACCAGTCATGTGCTTCTAATAATCCCCATCTCTGAACTGGCTTCATCACTCTGCTCTTCTCCCCACTGAGAGCTGGTGTGTGGGGATCGTACTGGCGCACTATGGCTGCTGTCATGGTGGTGGTGGAGGGGAGTCCCCATTACCTGTAAAGCACTTTGAGTGGAGTTTCCAGATATATAAGTGTAAGGAATTGTTCTTATTATCATTACATCAGTTAACTTTGCTGGCATTTCCATTGAACCTTTTGTATATGGCACTCACAAAAGACAGAGCTTCGTAAAACTGAAAAATGCAGTTTGAAGGGAGTAAAGAAGTCATTCTTGTCCTGCTTCAAACAGATGGTTCTTTGCTCTCAGTAAATTGCCTGATTAACGCCCAGCGATGGACTGGCATCCCGTCCAGGGTGTATCCTTACTTGTGCCTATTGCATGCCGGGACAGGCTCCAGCTCCCCACAAGCCTGTGGATGAAGGCGTTAGAAAATGGATGTTTGGAAATGGCCTGATTCAATTAGACACTCAGCCTCTGGTTGGCTCCAGGTGTGTCTGAAACCCAGGAATGCAGGACCAGGCCCGCCCGGTGAGGGGCGACGCCCTTGACAAGGGCCTTTCATTCCTCTTTTCCTCTTTCCATCCCCTGCAGTTCTTTCCCTACGGCGACGCCTCCAAGTTCGCCCAGCACGCGTTCCGGACGTTCGACAAGAACGGAGACGGCACCATCGACTTCCGGGAGTTCATCTGCGCCCTGTCCATCACCTCTCGGGGCAGCTTCGAGCAGAAGCTCAACTGGGCCTTCAACATGTATGACCTGGACGGGGACGGCAAGATCACACGCATGGAGATGCTGGAGATCATCGAGGTGAGGCCTCCAGGGAGAGGGTCTCTCCCAGTGCAACAGAGCGTCTCGGGGTGACCTCTGGCTTATTCTTTTAAAAAACGCAGCTCTGCTCACAGCACTGCCATTGGACCAGGAAGCACAGCTACTGTATTATTCACCCAGGTACACTTCAAGATACATGCATGGTAGGTTTAAGTAGCTCTAGGTTTTGAGTGTTTGAATGTACTGGAGTGTAGCGCTAGTTTAGGGTTCAGTGAGGATAGTTAAATTCTGGGATTGGTGCTGGTTTTTCAAACACTTTCGTCAAGCTAGAGCCAGAGGGCTGAGGTGTCTCCTGGACTTTGCTCACTCCAGGTATTGATTACTGAACTGAGCCAGTTAACGAGGTAAAATTGTCTTCTAAGTTTCTGACTCAATTACAAATTTATCAGAGAACGAACATACTGAACAAGGTCCTTGGAGAGTGGATGAGATGGTCTGATGTCTAGCTGCCCGGCTGACAGCTGCCTATCCCTCCCCTCCGTGCGTTCCCCAGGCGATCTACAAGATGGTCGGCACGGTGATCATGATGCGTATGAACGAGGACGGGCTGACCCCCCAGCAGCGCGTCGACAAGATCTTCAGCAAGATGGACAAGGACCACAACGACGAGATCACGCTGGAGGAGTTCAAGGAGGCCGCCAAGAGTGACCCCTCCATTGTGCTGCTCCTGCAGTGCGACATGCAGAAATAGAGAGGTTCCGGGAGGGGGGGGTGAGGGGGGGGTTGAACCTTGATGTGAGATTCGAACTGCAGCTTTTCCTTGGTTGTCAGAATGTGGAACCGAAGGTACCGTGCGAGCTGAAAGCAGGTCATATATATTGATTTTGTCTTGATGCTCTCCTGGAAATTGTACTATAATTGCACTCATTTGTACCGTACAGTTTTCTCATGCCAGTGTCTGTCTACCAACCCTAATATGAGCCGTCCGCTAAGCAAATGACTTATACCAATGACGCAAAACAAACTGAAAATCAATATAAGAAGTCATCATTTTAATGGGACATATTAAGAGGGTTAAGAGAGTCTCCTCCTAACTATAAATACGTTATATTCCCACTCTTCTCTGGATTTTCGGAGATGTATGAAAAGGGATCTCTTCTGACCAAGGAATCTCCATCGCTCCATACTGCTGCAGCCTGGCCCCGTACGATCAGGATAGCCTTGCAGCTACTCTGTTACTCTCTGACTGTCACTAAGCAAAGGCTGGTCTCTATCTTTTGTGATCTAAATCAAATCCAGTCAAAGATGTATTAACAGTCTTTGACCATGGAACTGTAGGTTCTGGACAGCCACAAACTTTCAGTTCTAATACCGGTTAACAACCTCCAGGAACAGTATTTTTACAGGTACACTTAAATGCTTCTTTTCATACACAAGCAGCTAATAATTTTAAGCATGTTTGAGTTATCATTTTTTAAAGTTACCTGTTTAGTGGCAAAACACTGCTAGGAATGCTCCAAGCATTTGGAAGTACGAAGTAGGCTGGAGGCAGGCCTGCAATTTCAGTGTTCTGATAACCAATCGGAAAAACTGCACGGGACTCAAATTTCCTCTGTGAACAAAAATCAGATGTTAAAAGGGAAGGAAAAAGGCAGCTAATTTCCACAGTCTTAGGAATTGCAACACCATCCCAGATATTGCTGGAGTTCTGCCCTTTCCCTGGGCACGTTGTTGGAGTTCAAGACAAAGACTCAGTTCTGAAGAATGTAATCTGAGAGGGGTCTCACTAACAGAGGGTTTATTACATCCACTAAATGCAAGAAGAACAGGAGAAACTGATGATGGTGACTGTGCGTCCCCCTTGCAGAGCTCCAGGGAGATTTGGCAATGTTAAGTGTGCATACACTTTAGGTAAACTGTCAGTATCAGGGTTTATATTGTCATTTAGCAGAAAATCTCAGACTGGCAAACAAAAACAGAAAACAAACCGCTGCAAACTTGAAGTCTTTAAAGAAATTGCTGCAGAAATGGCTCTCAACATAGTCCAAACGCTCTAAGCTGATTGAGTGCCTCTCGGCTCTTTAAACATCTGATAAGAAAAGGGAGAGAGAAGCAGTTTATGTAACATTTTGTTACATAAAAAAACTGTATATTACAGTACTCATAAATTTAAATATTTATTATTGTATATGTTACATTCTACCCTGACTGTGTGTGTTTGTGTGTGTGTGACTGATGAATCCTGTTGTGTTGGAGTACGGATCTCTGCTGACCAGGGGAACTCCAGGCTGGGAACTCAACACCATCGCTCCAGCCTGCTGCAGCCTGGCCCTGTATGATCAGGTGAGATGGTATATCCTTGCAGCATCTCTGATTGTCTCCAAGCAGAAGCTGGTCTCTATTTTCTTTGTTGGGAGGAAAAGGGGTCTCCTCTGGTTCCCCAAATCCAGCCCCAGATGTCCTAGCGGACTCCTAGACCATGTTGCCTTTATTCAGAGAATCTGAGGGTAATGGGAGGAATGGTACAAAGCCATTCCTCTGAACTGCACCATAAATGTTCCTCAGGAATGGTGGGTATTGTGATGTCATAAGGAGCTGTTTATGCATCACAGCTTGGCTGCAGGCTGTAGTCTGTAGGGTTGCCCAGCTGCAGGCTGTAGTCTGTAGGGTTGCCCAGCTGCAGGCTGTGGTCTGTAGGGTTGCCCAGCTGGAGGCTTTGGTCTTCAGAGATGCCCAGCTGCTCATAACAGCGAAAAATTTGACCCCCCAAGCCAAAGTGCTGACCTGCATATCCTTGTTGTTGTTTCTGTCTCCTGTTGTAGATACATCAAATAGTTTAAACCTTTGCACCAGTGATTTCTGTTATGCGTGGGACAGTACCATTTTTCTACGAGTTGTTCGTTCTGGTGATGGGTGTCGTCGTAGTTTCTTTTACGATCGGACTAGATTCATGATGTACTTCACAGTGTTTCCACCTGAAGTTCACCACCTGCTTTGTGGTAGAATTCCAACGGGGAAAAGGTTTACAGTGCTACGATGGGTACAGAGAAGAGCTATGTTTAAATGTTAGGAGCAGAACATCACACAAAGTCACCAAAAATATGTTTTCAAAACTGTCTATGACAGCACCTTTTGGAATCTCAAGCTTGGTTCATATTGCCATCTAGTGGCCCTTACCACAGTACTGAAATCTACGCCTCCAGTGCAATCCCACATTTGTCTGCATCCTGCTACAATGAAACCAAGGGCAGATCTAAGCATCCAGAGTGATGAAGGGAGAGCGACGGTGTTTTCTACTGTTCTCTCTGCAGTTATTTAAAATTCCCATATGTTCAAAAGGTAACCTAGATAAGTTCACCTGAAGACACTTGAAACGAGGGCTTTTCAAACTGTTGCAATTCCATGAAGCTGCTGACTCTGCTAATTATCAATTAAAGAACAGACGCTCAGGTACCGCTTCAGTTTGGAAGGGCTGCGAGTCGAGAAGCCCTGTGCAGGGTGACGGACACAGCCTGATAAGTCCTTCAAGGTGGCTCTTGCTCCGGCATTTGCTAGAAGATAGGAGAGCTCAGGTTTTTAGCTTCACAGTTGACCTCATATCTGTATCTGCAGGAGCTGGCCTCAGGTTTGAGGAGCGGAAAAAACAAATGGAGCATTGTTGCGTTCCTTAGAATCAGCACAGAAACACACATCGGAGGAGGAGGAGGAGAGCAGGAGGCGCTTCTTTACACAAAGGGTTGTGGGTGCTGTCGAAGCCGATACCCTGGAGTCCTTCTCTTTTGTTATGGTCTTATGTTACGTTCCACTGCATCTAGAGCAATTCTCATTCACTGCTGAGGCTGAGTCGAAAGCTACCAGTTGACCTACCCGTGCACAAGTAGTTCATGCATGTAGTCCTCCTGAGAGCAGAGCTGGAAGATGTCTGGCGTTCATTCCTGCTTCCCCTGGCTTTGTGCATCTGTGCCGCCAGCAGCTGGCATTATCAGGGAAGCGCTGTGGAAAGGTTTCATTGAGCACCATCTGGTGTCCGTGTCCAGAACAGCAGAACACAGCCAACATCTGAGCCAAACACAGACTTTTGGCTGAGCAGGCAAAAACAGTATAATGGGAATCTGTCAAGAGGCAATTGAATGGGCAACAAAATTCTTTAGGAAAAATGTGCCTTTAAAACAGAAATGAGCACGCAACGCATCAACATTCTCACATTGATCATAACCATTGCTTAGCGTAATCAAACGTCGTTTACAGAAAAAAGTTAACGTGCTTGCACAAAACATTTTTTTGTAAATTGATATTTTTAGATGACTGAAAAAAATATTAAATCAAATCAGTAAGCAAAATAAGGTTTCCCATCCAAAGAATCGTTTAAAGGCTTGTCTTGTGAGTGTGTGGTACTTTATTTTGGAGCACTGTGGAATTCTTCTCTGTTTCTGAAGAGAGAACAATAACCGTTAGGAATGGGCTGCTGGGAATGCTTAGCAAAGGAATTATATCGACCTCACAATGCAACCACAGCTTTTATCACTACAACATATTATTTAGAATATTAAAAGTTACACTCGGTACTGAAAGGGGATGATTTTTTGTGCATACATATTTATTTCAAAGGGTAAGTTGGAGTGATCCACTGTGCCAAAGCAAATTGGTCTCTGGAGTTATCTGAGTGTATTTTTGAAGTCAAGGTTGTGTCTACATTTTAATAAATATTATTGTAATCTCTTATATCCAGGAGTTGCTGTTTTTAAGATGGACCTTTGGAATTCTATAAGAAAAATATCCAAAGCCTATTGCTCCTTAGCAACAGAGGTGTTTCAGCTTGCACATCTCTAAACAGCAGATACTGTATTTACACCTCTGATCAGCCGTGCCATCTCTTTTGTGTTTTCTTTTTTAAACAATTACAATTACTGGCAGAAAAGTGGTATATTTGCTCAGGAGCAAAAAGCTTTGGAAATTCCCTAAAATTCAGATTACTGTCAAACAACATTTTTGAGTTTACCTGTAACTCAACAGGAGAATACAGATTGCAACAATATGTTATCACAATATTTTTCTCACATTTTGTTTGTCTCCAGATCTTATTCATTTCCACAATTGTTCAGTGCAGACCAAACAATTTAGTCTCCGGATTCTCCTCTGAGCTCTGTCCATTAGGTCTGAGCTCAGCAGAACTTCGCGTGTATCAATAGGCATAAATAGTCTGTTGTAAAGAGTGAGCAGGGATCAAACTGGATTGCAATAGACTCCATCTGGATGTAACACACACTTCAATGTACCAAAACAGCCAGCCCTTGTCCCGATCGAGGGGCTGTGTTTGGATTTTTGTGTTAGATCCGTGATTTTCCATTATCATTCCTGGAGAGTCAAAGGGTTTCATTCTACTGAATAAAATCAATTTTATTAATATCAATTATTGAATGAACTGGCCCAGACCGCCACTGTTGTTAGGTTTGGCCCAAATGAAAATGGTCTGTGACGTGCACAGAATCCAGGCAATATGGAAAGGACAGGTGGTGAGCCATGTGAGAATGCCTTCTTCAGGCTAGTCCCGAATGGGCATTTTAACATAACAGTGCACCTCCAGGAGTAGGACTCTCAGGGCCTGTCCACATCCCAGTATCCCTGTTTTAGGTGGTCCGTTCTCAGTCCCCAGACGTAACATGAAAAGACCTAAGATAAAGTGTAAAAAAAGGCAGAGAGCCCCTCTGTGAGCCAAGTCTGTGCAATATGCCTTTGCATTGTATATCTGTGCCGTAGATGTCCAAACTGCTGATAAACATGAGTTTAATTGAGTACCGTTCTTTCAATATTGTAAGAGTCTTAGAACTAAGAGATGTGTTATTATTTTTAATACATAGAAAATTAAAAATATGGATGTCAAGCGAACTGTGTGGTTTTATTTCCAGGGAGAAGGGGTTCCAGGATGGAATGGAATGGGTGGTGGGGCAGGGGGAGAGGTGATTAGAGATGGGTTCACATCCTTTATTAAAAGATAATACCAGTCTGTCTACAGATGTTCTCAGCCAAGCTGAAATCAGACGTATGTTAAGCTCCAACAACTCCACTGCCCTCATCAGTGACAACAGAATTGATGAAGAAAGACCTGTGATGGTAAATCTTGCACAGCCCAGCCCATCTCTGAGAAGGTGATAGTTCCTGATGTGTTTGTATAAGGGGCAATCAGAGCCAATACTGCCAGAGCTTACAGTGAAGAATCATCCCAATCAGCATCGCACACCCTTCCCACCCATTTTCCCCTCAATCTTCATGTTCAGGGTGTGCTCACATGAGGCCCATTACACCCACGTTTAATTAGGGGAGAATATTGCATGCAAAATCCTCAATGTGTTACTCTCTACATGGGGCGTTTGCACGTGGCTACCCCAAGACTCCCAAAAATAAAAAGAGGTGTTGCTTCTGAATCACAGAGACCCTCTTCACTGCTGAGCTCTATGAAGCAAACCCACAGTCCACTGCAGAAGGGTTCAGTCCAGGTACTTGGGGTGGTAAAGTTTAATTTATCAGTGGTTCCCAACCTGTTTTTCTCTTCTGTTTTTTTTTGCTGCAGACGAGTTCGTAATCACAGACTAGTTGATTTCAGTTTTCTATTGAAGGTGCAACCTCTGAAACCAGTGACAGGGGTTGGTAACTGGTATCAGTTTCTGAGTTTTAGAAGAGACTACTGCTACTACTAAGTTCATCATGCCAAAGCTGTTGGAAACAATACACCTGAAGTGGAGTTCCTGAAACACGGAGCTGAGTGCAGAAACAAGTAAAAAAGTCAAACAAATAAAGCCAATCAGTTAAAGAAATTACTCAGCACTGGAGCTTGAGAGCTCTGCTGAAATGTGAACTATCAGACATAGCAGTGAGGCCTGAGAGGAGGGTAAATTTCTTTCCTTTTCTGTGCTAGGTTTTCTTTAAAACCAGCACCCTGTCGAGTGGCACTGCACTGCCTCTAACCACAACCAGACAGGAGCTTTTCCACCTCCTTCCTTCCGACAGGAACAGGCAGAGGGTGTGGTTCAGAAGTAAGTTTGTGTAACATGTTAAACATAAAAATGGGAGCCGAGCGAGGAGGGCCTGAGCTGCATCCTGGATGACGTAGTGCTGTGCCGTGTTGCCATGGAGACATTGGCTAATCCTACCCAGGATGGTAAATTCTGTGTCTTAGATACCAAGGGCTGTGGATTTAAGGGATTCAAATCGAACCTCTTGGGCTTTAGGGGCTTTTAAGCATCCCTTTGGATCACAGAGTAACTACACACCCACAATAACATCCTGAATTCATTCTACTGCCATTCTAGTGACACATTCCTGTAAAACTGGAATCTATAACTGATCTGCCAAAACACAGCCCTGCTAAAATTCTAAGTAAGAATGCAGAAATTGTCTTTTAAATGGATAAGCCATACTGATAAACCTGGAAGTACAAGTGTTATATTCTACTTCATTTTAAAGACAATTTTCCCGTGAGGGAAATTGCAGTGCAACAGCAGCCAGGCACAATCAACACAGCACAGTACAACATAATAATACAGAATAGACCAAAACAAACCAGAATGTACAGTGCATAAATAAGTTGTATCGCACAGTATAGATATATTGCACAATCCACAAGCATATTGCACAAGTGTAGATATATATTACACAATTAAAGATAAATCCACTTCCACATATTTCACACCAGTTGTAAACAGAGGATTCAGATTTAGTCCCTAAACAGGTCAGTGTTGCCTGTTTGGGAAATGGGACTTGCTACAACCGACTGATAGAACAAATGGAACATTTTACTACACACATTGAAGGACCTGATCCTCCTCAAGAAGTAAAGTCGGCTCTGGCCCTTCATGTAGATGGCCTCAGTGTTGTTAGTCCATTCCAGTCTATCGTCTATGTGAACTGGGTAACTACAGTATAGCTTTTACAGTCTAACATTCAAAACACAGGTAGCGGAATGTATTCATCTATCAGGGTTTCAGTGGATCAGAAATAAACTAGGTAAGACCTGCTGAAACCCCTGACAATCTGTTAAGAAGCTTGCATGAGATGAGAATATCTCCTGCAGCCCACCTGCCCAATGTGACAATTTGTGTCTTTCTTTCTTACTTCCAGCAGGGGGCGCATGCCTCTATTTGTAAAATGAGTCTGTCTTGGAACAGTCGCAGCCCAGTGCAGTGATGTCAGGACTGAGCACAGCCAATGGGCTGCAAGGATTCTGAACGGTGGAACTGAGGCGCTGCTAAGCAACCAGTCCTCGTGCTTCTCTCACCTCTGCTTTAATCCCAGCAGCAGGGCGGCAGGGGAGAGGAAGAGGAGAGTGGCGATGAAGGAAGAGGTGTGCCTGCAGAAGGAATGAAAGGGAGAGGGAAAAGAAAAAAAAACTTTTTCTTTCTTACTCTCGAGAGCATTTTAGGAGCCACCCAGGAATGTACAGGGCACAGGGAAACTTCCGGAGTCTTCCAGGACTGTGCAGAGGTCACGATTTCTTTTCTTGATTAAGCTACAAATCCCTGCTTTTAAACCACAAAAAACTCCGTCCAGGAAAAAAAAGGAGAGAGCTTCAGGTCACACTGCTATGCCTTCTCTAAAGGACGCTTAGTGAAGATGTGGAGGTTGTAGCAATTGTTTTTTTTTTCTAAAATAAATACAATTAAAAATGCAAGTGCTCAGCTCTGAGTGACCCACACGTGAATGAAGGAGAATGATTGGACCTGCTGCTCTAAACGGGCAGCAGAGCAGACTGTGCAGGTGCCCGGTGATTTGTGACATAGCCTGTCTTTGTGCAAACAGACTCCCTGCTTTTGAATCATGAACACTATTCTCAGGCACACAAGGGAGCAATGGAACTCCAGATGTAATTCAGAAGCAAAGCCCTTTTCGATGCACAGGCTCAAACAGCCAACGAGACCAGTGCTGAAGTTAGCGACTGAAATTTTCCCTTTCAGGACTGGAGTCCGGCTGAGTCTGTGTCCTGAGGCGCACACTGCTACTGGACCTGGAGGAAAACTTTTAACTTATATACGGGGGGGCATAACCTTTTCAGCTCATCAACTACACTAACAGCCATGGGCATTGTTTTTCATGTCTTTGGCCTTAGATCCACTTTAAAAAGTAATTTTGGACCAAATTGTGAAATGGTGTTGGGTTGCAGCAAACTAATAAGATTAAAATAATTATAGAATATTATCAATAAAGCAACAATAGAAGTCTAAAAACATTAAGAATACTGGGCAAAAAAGCTATATACAAGACAGTACAAGTAACCTTAGCAATAAGGCTATGTAAATAATTTTTCATTCACTGTTATACATGAATACATAAACAATTGATAGCAGACTTATTTTACTTGTCTTGTGGAGAGTTTGTACAGCAGATACCCAGTATGAAAATGTCTATTAGATGCATCTAGCGAGTTTATTGAATTTCTGAACAAAATAAAACCAATTACAGCTGTGAAAATGAATGTTAGAAGGAGAGGGCTGGTGAAAACTATTATCCTTTTATGCAGGTGAATGAGAGGGTTAAATAACTTCCAACTTCAATGCAAAAGTCAAAGGTTTGGTGCAGAATTAAAAAAGAAACGTGTCTTACCTAAACTCAACACCTTAGCAGCCTATAAAATATTAAAAGACAGTAAGCGCTTAGCAGTGTTGCAATGCTCTGTAGAATAATTCTATCCCTTGTGCTTAAAAAGACAGACTTGCTCTTACTCGGTCACAGGGCACGGGTGTCTGGGTTTTGCACTTTCAGTGAAGCATCACAAGGGATCATGCAACAGGTATGGGGTGCGCTCTCTTCTGGAGCTCCGACAACAAGCAGTCTATCCCTCTTGGAAGTGGAGCTGCCATCAGGATTCCCATCCTCCTGGTGGTGTAGTCCGGAGGCTATGAATAATGGATAGGGAAAGCGCTCTGTTCAGCTCAAGCGGGATCCTGTGTGAGTGCAGGTGGACCAGCTGCAGGGCAGGTGGCTATCCCCACGCACACACACCAGCTGCGTGTACTGTATGGTGGGAGGTATGCAGCACTCTTGGGGTTAAGAATGTGGGCTGGCCACCGTGCAGCGAGCTGTCAGCAAGGCGATCCTGAGCCTGTGCCGGCGAGCTGTTTAAAGGGGCTGTGAGTGAGCGAGAGCACACTGCTGCAAGAGTGAGAGAGCGAGAGCAGGAGAGAGAGAACTCACACACACACCGGGGAGCTCCGGGATTACTGGAGAGAGGTTAAATGACAGACGAGAGGAGACGGGGGAAAACAAGACCGGCAGCAAAACCAGAGCAGCAAGACCAAAAGGGACAGGAATCGGAACACAGCCTTCCTCTCCCTCTCCGCTTGCCCCTTCCTCTCAGCTCCCCGCCTTGTCTGGCTTCCACTTGAAGTGCCTGGAAGGCGCAGCAGGAATTTCCCGGAGTCCTGGGAGGAGGAGGAGGAGGAGCGGGGGGTAACAACTGGGGAGGGCAGGGTGGGGGGTGATTCTCCGTGGATGAACAGACGCAGCCGAGGCAACAAGACCCATGAGCCTGGACTCCGCACAGGCCAGCGGCCGGCAGAGGAGAGGGGGCAACTCTGCCAATGGAGAGGGTAGGCCCCACTGGGAGGACACCAAGGCTTTCTACGACAAGCTGACCCCCACCAAGAAACCCAAAACGGTAATGTCCTGCTGTGTCAACCTCCCCCCACCTTCCCCCTGTGTGTCCCCTGCTCCTGCTCCCAGGCTGCTCTCCTGCTGCTGGGATCTGAGATGCTGTCTGAGCGACGGCTCCCTGCGTCTGCCATCGCCTGGCTGTGCTTGTGTGCTGGTGTACTGGTGTGCCTGCGTGCCTGCGTGCCTGCATAGAGAGCTGCAGCTCCGCGCTGTCTTCCCTGCCCCCCGATCTGCCTCCTGCCTGTCCTTACTGTCTGTGATGTACGTGTGTGACATGCATGACAGCATCGCCAGGACCACCCTGAACATAAATGCACGCCTAATTGCGTTTCTGCCATTGCAGTCCTGTCACTAACAGCAGGAAGGTTTTTGGCATGCAGAATTGTGCGTTTGCTTTCGAGAGCTGCATCACAGAAATCACGCAGACTGCGAATTGAGATAAAGAGTCACTAGGGTCACAACCATCTACTTTATACCTGCTCGGACTGTCTTGAGAAAGCAGATCGGGTTTGTCGTGGTATACTGCTCGACATCCTGGGGCGATGCACTATAGTCCAAACCGCAGACCTCACAGACTACCACTTTTTCATGTCAAGCACCATTAAAATATTGCTCTTTTAAAGACACAGCTTCATCAGCAATAGAACTTCAATAAGTAATCATAAATCACATTTTCCGTTAAGTATAATGCATATTACAAAAGGGGATAAATGCGTAATGCCGTGTTAAAGATACAGCATTACAGTAAACAAACATCTTCATTAGAGTCTAAAATTAATTCTTGCTTATGCCCCTATAAACTGTCCATTTCTACTGTTAACCATTTCTGCTACAACAGGAAAATTTAGAATCTAAAAGTGTAAATGTGTGCAGATTAGCTCTTTTGTAAAAGATTGTCCCCTACTGTATGTAGACCAAAATAAATTGTGCATGTTGATGCAGAGTATCTAGAGAATTATTACTAAATACGCACACAATCAATGCTTAACTGAAGGGTGTTGGTGTTTAACACAAATAAATAAGTACTGGAAAATGTACTGTAAGGGTTAACAATTGTGTGACATACTCATATGCCATCATATGACAGGTTAATGCAGGTTTTTATTTCAAAATGCAGCTGGTGACTGACGAACATCTTCCCTCTTTCTCATCATAGTCTCTCCATTTGATGTCTTATATCATTACTGCTAATGGAGACTGCAGCTCTTTGCCCCTGATTTACATCCCTAAAGATTAAAGGGATTTGTGGCAACAAGGGAAATTATTTTAATTAATTGTGACAAAAGCCAGTCCAGGCAAAAGCTCTTTGCTTTTCATATCCATAAGGGCCCCTAGTATTATGATCAATATGGCTGGATAACAGTAAAAGCCATTTGGATCAGTCTGTGACTAATCACAGGGTATTCAATATAGTGCCTTTCAAGGTAAACAACCTAACAAAGCACTGAAAGGATATGGAATTATTTTCTAACTCATTGTTAAATAAAAAAAAAACATCATAGAAAGAGGATAAAAGAAAAATAGCAACTGATTAAAATCAAAACATGAAATTTTATAAAACACAGCACACAGCGCATTTCTATACATTACTAATATGCAAAATCTGACAACTGTACACACATAGACCCTCATCCTGGTTCATGAGCCTAGCACTAACCCTGGCATCAGAACTAATTTTTAAGAGAAAAATCCATAAACATGGGTATGTTTTCAGTGTAGACTTGTGGGAAGAGAATCTGTTCATGTCTGTTCAGAGAGTCCTGGGCTCTCTCACGATCTATAAATAACCGTGTCCCTGTCGCCCCTCCTGTGCTCCCCTGCACTCTCACTGCGCTGAGGGGCAAGAGCTCCAGCAGCTGGGTTCACGCCAAACGGGGGCTTAGTGGCGACTCGGTGACTCTGCCTGAGGAGGAAGAGCTCAGTCTTCCTCACTCCATTTCCTCTTTCAGATCCCAGACTTCACTTAAATCCTCTCCCTATCCCAAACAGAACTACACACACAAATACATATATAAATAGCTGCAGCTGTGATATGTATTAAAATAGCTCTGGAACTGAGACAGAGACATGCTAGAATAATTTTCTTTCCAACTGAGCTCTTGATCACTCACACTAATTGATCCCTGTGATTGAACCTATTGATTACACCTTTCTATGCTGTTTTTGACACCATTCTGCTGCAGGATTGCTGCTGCTAAACAATTCTCATCCACTCCCTCCTTATCTGCCTATCGACAGGCTGTGCCTTACATCTGCCTACAGACCACTTAGCAGGTCAGCAGTTAATGATGTCCAAACACGGGTGTTCAATTCCTAGATTCTACACACCTGGATGAGTGCACTTGCAAAGCCCAGAAATTTACTCAGGGATGATAATTACTTACCCCCATCCGAGTTTTAATAATCATTCTGACATCATTTAGCCTAACTGGCCAAGGGCTCAGCTGGATTGAACACAAGAAGAAACAGGGGTATTTCAGAATCAGCGACATAAAGCATACATACGATATATACTGTAAGAGAGTGTCCATCTCTCTAGTAACCATCTAGGGAAGGGGTTATTAATGTAGCCGCAACTGAACCAAGGTTATCTGGTGACCTGTTAGACCTCAGAGCAGCCTGGCCTTGACATCACCAAAAATAAACTAAACAATATATTGCTAGAGACTTAAAAAACTAAACTTAAATAAGAACAGCTCAGGGTTCTTTCAGAACTTGAGGGCTTAAGGCTTCAGGCAGCTGAGTCATTTCCGTTATTTGAGAGCTGAAATACACTGTGAACTTTCAGATACAACTATATTTATAACCCCTGCTCCGTGTGCCAGCCAAGATTAGAGCTGTGGTGGGCATGAGGGGGTGGGCACCAGCCTGTCACTGTGCTGAGAGGGGCTCAGCTCCATGCCATTGCTTGAGAGCACACACCACACGGACTCCGCAGGCCTGGGCACCCCAAACCCCCAACCCAGACCACCCCCTAAAGACCTGGGGCTATTGAACTCTGATGAGTTACAAAGGGTTTTTTTTTTTAAATCAGGAAGTTCAGAAATCATTTGGGACAAAAATGTGAAGGACCTTTAGGCCCCGAGAACCAGACTTCCCTTCATTGAACAGAATCGTGTTTAATCGCACGTGTTTAATTGCACGTGTTCCTCAAGAAAACTAACGAGTGAGGGAGACCCGGAAGATAAACTGGCTGGGGGTGGAGACCCCTGATCCAGACCATGTCCTGATGAAGCTGTGGCTTGTGAGACTTACTGTGGATTACCTAAGAGACGTACAGCCCTGAGAAAGACCACGACTAAGCAGGGCAGATGCCTGGTACAACCACAGCCAAAGCACTGTGAAATGCACTGTGGTCCATGGTCCTATATAAACACACTCGACTGCATACAGGTACATAAATACACAGCACCATTAATACACTCACCCCAGTGTCAGGAAGTGAATGCACATACTGTACAAAGACACTTCTACATAAATTCAAATTCAGTCTTTGTTACTTTTGTAATCGGGAGTTATCGGTTCAGTTCCTTATGGGGCAGGGCAAAATTATTTTAATCGGCATAGCTTAATTAGCAACACATTCGTACCTGAGGGAGAAACAATTAGTTTGACCAATTAATCAATCAGATTACTTGCAAACAAATCTGTTCAATTAAAGGGATCAAAATAACGAATGAATGAATCGGGTGATTGTGCTAGGGACTTAACTGAACATAATGGAGCCTGCTGGCCAGGACACAGGATTCTTCGCCACTTCCAGGGTTAAGGGCTGTGCAACCCCTGCGCCGTGTCTGCAGCTCTGAGCACGGTGCGTGGCCATGCCGCGGGTCGTCGCAATAAAACCCCACCCCTCCTTTCAGCCAAAGCCGCAGAATGCCATCACCATCGCCGTGTCTTCGCGGGCGCTCTTCCGCGTGGAGGAGGAGCAGAAGATCTACGAGCAGAGGGGCGTGGAGGAGTACGTCCGCTACCAGCTGGACCACGAGAACGAGCCCTTCGAACCCGGGGCCGCCTTCCCCTTCGTCAAGGTCAGAGCGCTTGTCTCTGTCTCTGCCTGCTGCTCCCCGGGGCTCCACAAGCAGTGTGCAATGGGATGAGTGAGAGCATCAGTAGAGCACTGATGGGCTTTGAGGAGGCATCACGTTTCTCATCGCAAGCCAAGTCACAGACCAGTTACAGAACTAGTTTGACAGAGAGCCTGGGTCAGAGGATGAGAAAGATGGCCACACTCCTCCGATGCTGCTGGGAAAATCAATTTCGCTTCTCACAAATTTGCTGGCATTTTCCCAGCCTCTGGGCTCCCGGAGCAGAAGGAAGACTTGTTTGTCAGAAGCAGACTGACCTTCCTCTGTGGGAAAGTAATTATTAAGGAAATATTAAATTAGAAGGTGGAAAAAAAAATTAAGAGCAATTAAGAGAGCGATGGCAGACTGGCGAATGAAAATCCCCCCAATTAGCTGATGTGTTCAGGAATGTCTTTGAGGAGTTGGGCAGAAGTAGTTTTGTCTTGACCTGCTTATCTGAAGGGCCACTACCTGGCTGTAGGACGAGGAAGTCGGGACCTCCTGCAGTGAGGAGGTAACCAAGGGGGAGCTGCACAGAGAGGGCAGAAAGAGGAATACAGGCAGGAGAGAGGGGCTCCTGGTGGTACTGATGGTCTTTCAGGGGGTGACGTCATGGAGGACTGAAGTTAGAGTAGCAGAGAGCAGCAGAGGTGAAGGAGAGTGTGGTTCCTGCCATCCTTCCTGGACATTCCTTAAAAACTCCATTAACTCAAGCTACAATTGCCAAGAAACACTCTCCCTCTTACTGATGGAAGACAATCCCATTGAAGTTATGGATATCATTGTTCCTTAGTCCCAGTAACGGCTCATTTGTTGGGCGTCCGAGTCTCTCGGCTCACGCTGTTCACAGGTCTTTCGTTGAGCTGCCATCTGACCAGGTCTGTGCGGGTGTCTTGTTGTGTGTCCCCTCCGGTCCGCGGTGCGTGCCCAGGCTCTGGAGGCCGTGAACAGCCGGCTGCGGGAGCTGTACCCGGACAGCGAGGAGCTCTTCGACATCGTCCTGATGACCAACAACCACGCGCAGGTGGGAGTGAGGCTCATCAACACCATCAACCACTACAGTGAGTCCCGACTGAGCTGCGAGCACCCAAGAGCCCGAGGAGCCCTCTGAGTGGGCTCCCCAGTCACAGCATCACAGCCCAGACATGAGCAAGTCTCTGATACTGAGGACACTGACAGCATCACAGCCCAGACATGAGCAAGTCTGTGATACTGATGAGACCGACAGCATCACAGCCCAGACATGAGCAAGTCTGAAGATATCAATGACATTTAAGTGATTTTGGAAAGGGCCCTTTACATTTTCTCAGGCTGACAGTGAGACTGAACCAGTGACCTTTTCACACATTTCCAAATCTGACCCACAGGCCTTACAGGGGCCAAATTCCTGTGCAGTACCCCACAGTGCCCCAGATATAGTTAGGAAGCATCTGTACAATGTCAGCCTTTCATCTCTTTCTTGGCTAATTGTGTGAAACAGTCAAAAGACTGCAGTCACGTCAGAAGAAAGTACCGTAAACACAGTTTGTTTCCAGCTAACCAGAGGGCACATTCCAGGCCTGAAACAAGTTAACCTTAAAAATATTGTCCCATTCCATCACAGCACAGTGACTGCTGTCTCTTGAGCAGTGAATGACCCGGGGATAAACCTAAGATGTCTTCTACTTTCTAAATTTCAGCTAAGCTTTTCCCATTCAACATCTGATTATGCAGGTTAGAAGTAACAATCTAACAACTAATAGCTCTGTATGAAGATGTTCTACATTGTGATAATTTGTCCTATTGTAGAGCAATTTATGGATGCTTTACATTGATATATGCCACGAGCGCTAAACAGCAATGCAATGTAAGCTATTTTTACACTCCACTTGAGGCTCTGGAGCATAAACTGTCCACAGAAATGCGATGCTCTGTAATACCACAGGGTTCGAAGGCCAAAGGTCAATTGACAGCTCTCACGCCCTGCATGTTATCCCAAAGGGATGTGGAGGAAAAGGGGGCGCAGAGGTCTCTCTTCTCCTGTCCCCCAAACTCCCCAAATACACAGTGGAAACATCCGCGGATGTTTGTATTAGCAGGGTTGAAACAAACAGACTTCTGCAAACGTTTTTTTCTTTTTTATTTTGTTAGTCCAGAGTGCACAGTTTACGACTGTTCACAAACGCGTGCTGATGAACCAGACGCCTCATGAATACACATCTGCTGCGTCCCCGGCAGGTTACATAACCCCGGTGCGGGTTATGTCTGTTCGCTTCATTTCTAAAGCAACGGCAAGGGTGAAAAGAGCCAGCTCCACCGAGCCCGAGTCTTCATTTAGCACAGAACAGGGCGTTTCTGCCTGGCGTGGTGCAGCACGAGACGAGGACAGTGTAACGAACAGTTCTTTCCGGACCCTATGCGGACGACACAGTCCGACGGAGTGGGGAAACACTGGGGAAACGTCATGCAGGAATACGGGGCTGAAGACAGGGGGGCGTGTCCAAGGTGCGCTGGTGCACGGGGGAGGTGTGGCCGAGGCGAACAATCCGAGAGTAATCCATAGAGTATCCAAAAACACACAAGAAAGTCCAAAACCAGGAGATCCATCAGAGGAAAGAATTAAAAACCACGAAGGCCGGGTCGGAACCGGCGGACAGGGACAAGGAACAGGGGTTAAAACCTTAACGGGACCAGGCGCTTCCTGGTCCCGGACTCGCACGATATGGAAATCAGATGCAGAGCCTGGAAGAGCGTCAGCGCCTGGCTTTTAAGGTGGGCAGGGAATTGGAAACAGGTGCAGAGAATGAAGTCTTTAGTGAAAGGGCTGGAGCACCCTTAAGGAGGGGGGACTATAGTCGTGACAGACAGGGGGTCATGGGAAGGGAATGCAGAGCGCCGCTGGGCAGGGGGCGCAGTCTGGCGGGGCTGCTGACGCGCTGCTGTCTGTGCTGTGTGTGGGCAGACCTGTCCATCGAGCGCTTCTGTATGACGGGAGGGAAGAGCCCCATCGGCTACCTGAAGGCCTACCACACGAACCTCTACCTGTCCTCGGACTCCGAGAAGGTGCAGGAGGCGCTGGAGGAAGGTGAGTGCCCCCCCGAGACTCGGGAGATCTGCTCGGCCCCCTGTTATTCTCTGTGGATCTTTTTTTTTTAACATCATCACTTTATTAACCCTTTACAATTTCTTGCATTAGGAATTATCTTTTCGCGTACCCCAGCTTGCTCTCCATGAGACACACAGACAGGGAGAAGCTTGGGGTCTGAGCGCAGGGTCTGTCATTGTACAGCGCCCCTGGAGCAGTTAGGGTTAAGGGCCTTGCTCAGGGGCCCAATGGAGTAGGATTCCTCTGCCGGCTGCGGGATTTGAACCGGCAACCTTCCAGTCACAGGCGCAGATCCTGAGCCACAGAGTCACCGCTCCGCCCTGACCGGGCACGCAAGGCTGCGTCCGCTGACTGTACGGGGCACGCTCCAGGGCTTCATTACAGGTGCACCTCCACTGCACCAGGTCTGGGACCTGTTCTGTAATGAACCACAGGCTGTTTCTTGAAAGCAGACCAGGAAACCTCCAGTCCAATAAGAGGTCACCTTTATTTCATACAGCTCCCTTCACAGAAGTGCGTCTCCGAGGTTTTGCTCAAAGGGCCACGCATTCGGAATAGCATCACTCAGCCTGTTAGAACCCAGCGGGTGAGACAATTCATGCATTAAGAATAGGTCATTGGAGAAATGACGCACGAGTCTCCAGGAGAAGGGTGCGCCACATCGATAAAAACCAAACCAAAATCTTTCCACTTCTTATTCTTCTTAAAAGCTCGCCTGAGTGGCTCTTTTTTTTTAACATACCAGTTTTCCCAAGGAAGCACAGCGCTGCTTCTGTCGGACTTGACCTCTAGGTGGGGGGCGGACGAAGCAGACTGCGGGTTGTGACCTCCGTGTCTCTGCGCCTCTGCCCCAGGCATCGCCGCGGCCACCATGTTCAGCCCGGACAAGGCCGTGGAGGTGTCGGACTCGCAGCTGCGCGTCGCCTTCGACGGGGACGCGGTGCTGTTCTCGGACGAGTCGGAGCAGATCGTCAAAGCGCACGGGCTGGACAAGTTCTTCGAGCACGAGAAGGCGCACGAGAACAACCCCCTGGCGCACGTACGTCCCCCCCCCCCGTACGCGCGTGGAGCATATGCCCGGTGTCAAGATAGCGGCTACAGGGCATACGCGACTCACCGTAACACCCAGCCGGCACACAGCTGGATAGAGACACAACTACAAGAACTGCAGTCCCAGCGCGGCGCTGTGGCCAAACTGCGTTTTTTTTTTACGTAAAACGTCGAGGTGGCTGTTTGTGACACCTGTGTACGTACACACCTTTGCCCACCTGACCGCCCGAGCAAGTGTCCTCTTTCTTAAAGGCACAGGCCTCCCTCGTGTGAGGGGGGGGTTAGGGCACAAAAGTAACCCTGTGAACCTGTGTGTTCACCTGTTAGAAACGTGAAAATCAGTGAAGGCGGCGAGTTACACACAAACATGTTTCATTCTCAAACAGACCGCGCAGACAGTGTGTTTGTCATGGCGCCCTGGTGCCACAGGGATTGACAATGCAGCACTGGGGCCCTGGGCTCAGCTCCTGGGGTGCAGTCTGCTGGAGCCTGTAGGTTCTCCCTGTGTTCGTGTGGGTTTCCTCGGGGTGCTCCGGTTTCCTGCCACAGTCCAGAGACATACTGGTGGCTTAATGGGCTTCTGGGGAAATTGGCCCTGGCGTGTGTGTGCACGCGTGTGTGTGCGTGCGTCCGTGTATGTGTGCGTGCGTGAGTGTCCTGCAATGGAGGTTCCCTGCCTTGCGCCTGCTGCTTGCCTGGACAGTCTCCGCCTCCCGGTTCTGGACGAAGCGGTTCGGAAAACGGCCGACGGCTGTCTGTCTTCATGATCCTCAGCTGCCCCTGTGCTCTGTCGCCCCCCGGCAGGGTCCCCTCAAGTGCTTCCTGGAGTCCCTGGGCCGGCTGCAGAAGAAGTTCTACGCCAAGGGGCAGCGCCTGGAGTGCCCCATCCGCACGTACCTGGTGACGGCGCGCAGCGCGGCCAGCTCGGGCGCGCGGGCGCTGAAGACCCTGCGCAGCTGGGGGCTGGAGACGGACGAGGCGCTCTTCCTGGCGGGGGCCCCCAAGGGCCCGCTGCTGGAGAAGATCCGCCCGCACATCTTCTTCGACGACCAGATGTTCCACGTGGAGGGCGCGACCGAGAGTGGCACCATCGCGGCCCACGTGCCCTACGGCGTGGCGCAGAAGCACAGGCGGCCCCCCGAGAACAAAGAGGCAGCCAAGTAGCCCCGCTGGCGGGCCGTGCGAACAGCCCCACCCTGTCCCCGTCATCGGTGAGACGGGGTTGGGGTGAGTGAACCCCCGTTTCTGAAAACAAACTTCTCAGCAAAGCAAAGCTCAAAAGAAAAAACAGCGTGGTTTAAAACACACCTCACACCAGAGGGATGTGGTTGGTGGTTTACCAAGAGACCACAGCGTACTGAAATAGGATCTATTTTTTGCAGTTTGGTGCTTGTGAGACAGTTACTTCTTTTTACATTGTTAGATGTGTACACATTTAGGACAGTGCATCAGGTAGGGCAGCTTTCATAAAGACATCTTCTGCCTTAAGTGAGACAGCTCTGAAACAGCCACTGCCCTGGGATCACTGCGGCATGAGGCTTAGCCACCTGCGGTGAACACTTGCTCAGTAATCGTATTTCAGACGGGCTGCATTTTAAAAACAGAACGCTGAAGGGAGTGGTGGGGCAGAGTATAACTGAGACCTGTCGAGGTATAAAGCTGGTCTTGAGTCCTGACCCCCTGCAGAGGAGCAGGGTGCTGCAGCCACACACAAGGGTCCGCTCAGGTCTCACCCCTGCTTTCATCATGTTCGCTTCAAACAAGTATTCGCCAGAGTCTAGAGCAGCTAGAGAACACGGCCATGTCGGAATATTGCACCTTTTACCGCTGGGGGCAGTGCTTTCTTCTTTAAATCCCCACCCTGAGAGAGAGATTGTTTAAAAACCTTGAAGGGCAAATCCCTGTATCCTCCAGGGGGGAATGCTCTGAAGGGGAACGCCGCTGCTCAGAGCAGTTTGAGCAGCAGGCTGTCCTGTGACCTCCGGACCAGACTCCCACCAGCTGACTGCTGCAAACAGGCCTCAGTCATGATGACGCTGCAGCCTCTTAGTGTATCTTGGCCATTTTACTTTAACAATACCATAAAACCTCACCATCGATATTTTTTTATTTATAAACATTTTAATGTTTGATAATTAATTTTGGATTTTGGGGTGCAATACAGTGTTGAAAAGCTTTTCACCTGAGGCTTGGAGAACAGAGAGGCGAAACAGAGGACAGAACTATGCTAGGCTTTTATCTTTTTTCAAAAAGATTGCTGCTTAAACTCCTCGGATTGCTAGCAATGGGAAAGCAGCTGTCTCCATGCTGTTGGGGTGACTCTCCTAGTTAATCCTGAGAGAAAACTCCAAGAACATAGTGAATTGTTTTCAGTGGTTTTAAAGTCTAAAGCTAACGGACTTTGTGCCTGAAGATTCTGAATATCCAATAATTGGTATTAATAATGTTCAGCAGAAAAGAGCTTGTTGACTTTTAAGGGTAAATGAATGCTCAGCTCTGGCTGACTAGCAATAGCATGTCCTGAACTTCAAGGAAACACAGGTGCTGACGTTCCGGCCGAGTACTTTTGAATGTCTCCCTCTTCTGGCGAAAAGTGATAAAGCACCCCGGTTTGCGCTGTTTCACAGGCGAGCGGTGACATTTGAGCCCCACCCTACAAAGCACGTTAATCGCTACATTCAGTGGCGTAAATTTCTAAAAGTCTCAGCGAAGGCGTTAACTTTATATGCATACGGGATCCTGATTTCACAGTTTTTTAGAATGTGAATGCTTGCTGTGTCTTAACTGCGTCAAAGTATCTACATATAATTCAAGTCATATCGACATTTGACAACAGCCATTCTTCTTGTTGTTGTAAGACAACACAGCCCCCAGAAATAAGGGAATACTCATTCCTTGTTCATAAAATAAAAAAGGCTGCTGAATATGAACAGATTTTTAGATTATTTTTATTTTAGAAAGACCGTTAGAAAGATTTGTGTATCTTTGGTTTCAAAAAACGTAAACATAACGACTTAGTTTAATATTTAACACTTTTTTAACTGCCCTTGTTCCTTAAATTGTCTGAGATGAGATTACAATTTCTTTTAAAAAAACATTAATGCATTTTGTTCTTTGAGCAGCAATTCAAAACTGTTCTTTTATGTAAAGAAACTCAATTTCCCAAAAACCTCCACGGTGCGCTTCCTCAACATGCAATAGAGGGAGCTGGGAAATGCAGTTTTTTTTAAGCAGGCTGGGCGCTCAATTTTGAGTTCTGCACTGTAACCAAAGATAAGTTAAATCAGGCAAGACGTTTATCTGTAGGCTTGAGGCTTTTATCACCTGATAGTTAAGTATAAAAGCACTTTAATAAAACTATATAATATAAAATAAACATTCTTTATATAGATTCTAACTGGACTGGCATCCTGTCTTGGTTGTAGAACTAGCTTGGGTCCTCCGCCTGGCAATTTGAGCTCCAGCTCATCATCATTTTCTAAATTAAGAATTGTGCGGTTACTGAAAACAGATGGGTGGAATGGAGATCACGTCCACTGCTCTCAGAAAGACAGAGCTCTACAAATGTATTGGCTGTAACAAGGCATGAGCGGAGGGCCTCTAACATTCACTGTTTCTCTCCAGTGTTATCTTAGAAACTGAAACACGGACCGCAAATCTTCCAAACCAGGATCTTCTCATGTTCGCAAGACTCTGGGTCTCACGTCAAGTTCTGTGCAAAGCACTGACCGTTCAATGGTTTCTTGTTAATGGTTCTAAGCTTTTGTTTTGGAGGATTGCCTTTGAAAAACTCTAAACTGCACTTACACATCTCTAAATTAATAAATACATCGCAAAATTAGTCCACTGTCTGAGATTTTAAAAACATTTCTAATGAAACTCCTGGTGTATCAGTTGTAGTTGAGAGGGACACTGTGATTGTATACTTGTACGCTGTCCGTGTCTTGTCTATTTATACACTAGATATGAGGAATGGCTTCAGGCCTTGGCAGGAACACCAATAAGCCACATGACTCCCTGTTCTCCTGTTCTGTTCTTCTCACTTAATGTCTTCTCTGTGTTTGCAAATAATAGCTGTGTGTCTAGTTGTGTTTCGTAATGTACTTTGTTTACTTAGAAGACGAGCAACTACTTTGAGCACTGTGTCAGCATATCATTTTCTTAGCATGCAGAAGGGACAAGGGACTGTGTGATAATAAATATTGGAAAGAGGTGCACTGTGGTGCTGCTGTCTGCCTGTTTGCCGTTTTTCACATGTGAAGCCTGAAAGTAGACAAAGACCTGGTGGCGAGCGAGAAACTTGGCAGATGTGAACACAACACCAAGGGCACAGGTGTAAAGAAACATGAGGACTGAGAACAGATCTCAAGACCTTCACCCGAGGAAGGCTGAGGAAAGGGGTGTTCGAGTGAGGCTCTGAAAACGGAAATGACACAGGTTTGAAGAAGCTGCAGTGCTGCTAGTGTCCACTGTTGCGCAGCAGCAGGGCTAGCCCAGGAGGTCATGGGCATACTCACTGCCTCCTCCTGGCTGCCAGAGCCTGGCGGTGGATGACGTGACTCTGGCACCCCACGGCCCACACAAAATCACTTTCCACCGACGAATGCTTCGACTACCTGCTGCTCAGCACCACTGCTCCACCGATATGACCTTCCCACGTCACCCCAGGCACCCGTCTACAGCTGCAGGGGACGCAGGGATCTCCAGACACGTGGGAGTGTGGCAGAAACTGGAGAGAGCTAGCCCTGTTCCCACTGCCCGTTTCCGAGTCAGACATTTTTTTTTTTAAACAATTCCACTTTGTCCAGATTTATACTATTGAGCATTAAAAATGTAAAAACAAAATATCAACTGATGAACTCCTATATTCCAGCACTTATCCAAGACAAAAATGCCCTCTTGGCAAGTTCGTTTCACACTAGGCAGTGATGTCTTGGTGCCAGTCGGTATGCAAATACACAGCAGTCCAGAAAGGCTGGAGATGCATGGGATGCCATTCTTTAACCCCTCTGTTTTATATCAAATGACATTCTGCAGTGAAAGCAGTATTCTGAAAATACTGCATGCAATAGCATTCGCACTTACAATGCCAAATCAGTTTTATTGAAGGAGGAAGGAACATTGCCTTTGTACTCATATGTGTATACAATGCATGCTCTTTATGAGTATTTTAGTCTAAATTGAAAGAGAAAACATAATTGATTGTATCTTATAATACGGATTTATGAAGCGCAGGTCACAGACCCCAATCCGACATAGTCCTAGAACAGTTTGTCTGTATTAACATGAAGTCCTGGTAAGTCAGTCTATCAGTCCGATTAGGGCTAATCAGGATGTGTGAAAACCAGCCCGAGTAGCTCTGTTAGAAAAGATCAAGTGCCACAAGTACATTTGCAACTTTCTATTTTAATGTTATTTGATTTCCAGTCACAGGATGGCAATTATAAGTAATGGTATTTCTTCAGGATTGTGTGCGATTATTATTTCAGAGAATCCAGCACTGATGTCTGCAAAGCACCCCTTCTATCTGCCAAACAATTTACTGAGCGCGTATCCGGACACCGAGCCGATTCCACCAATGACAGCAGTGGCAGTACCGGACAGTCCTGCCGCACCTGCAAAACACACACAAGAGTCGAGCCGGTGAGCCAGCTGCAGCCACGCCCCCACAGGAAGGGGAGGGGCCTCTGTGGAGGGCAGGAAGGGGAGGGGCCTCTGTGGAGGGCAGGGAGCAGGTCCTGTCCCAGGGCACATGTTACAGAAAGTCTGCAACTGGAGAATAACACTACAATATCAGGAATACCTGGCCCATTTTTCTCATTCGTTACTGCCAGCTAATTGATCCCAGGATCTCATCCACTCATGTTCCTAAAACTCCCCGGGAACTGTCTTCCAATTAAATTGCTGGGAAGCTGGTTCCAGACCCACAAACCCCTTTTATATAAAAGAGTGCACTGTAGGTTAAATCCTCGATGCATTTTCTAAAACATGCATCTGTGCCCTCAGGCCCACACT